TATTTGGCTGTGGAATTTATATATTTTTTTTATAATTTGCTTGGAATACATACAGCAATTCTTATCAATTTTGGTAGGTATTTCTCAAACAGTTTTAGCAGGGATACATGCTTTTTCATCAAACAGGAATAGGCCTGCTTTGACCAGCAGATAGAAGTCTACCAGTAGTTAGCTGATGCTGTCCTAGTTCTTGCTAATGCAGAGCTGCTTACTCCTGGCCAAATTCTGTCCTCTTCTTGGGTCCCTCACCAGTGCTTCTGGCTCTTTCCCTCTGCCGTGTGCCCCCGTAGCAAGCCTCTTGGGCGTGCCTTGGCCCTACCCCCCCATTCCCTCCTAACTAGCTGTGGTTAACAGTAGCAGACGCCAATGATTCCCACTACTGTCTCTGAGCCAATGAGAAGGGAGAGAGCTGAGATACACTGGATCGAGTTCAAGCTCAGGTAAGTATTAGGAGGCATGGGGGGGGAGGGGGGCGGACATGCAGAAGCTTTTTGCCTTAATGCATAGAATGCATTCATATAAAAAAAAAACTTCTGCCTTTACAACCACTTTAGGATACCACAGAGAATACAGCAATTTAAAATTGGCCAGCAGTAACGAAGCACCCTCTGGTGTACATAGTTGCTGAGATTAGTTAGAGGCTTGCTAGAAACCTAGGTTTTAGTAAGAGGGTTACTGCAGGTCTAAGCTGGGAGGCTTTACAGGTCAGTCCTCTGGTACCACCCCCTGCTCTAGATACTTGGTGAAGCTTCTAGAAGTCAGTAGGCCGAGGTAGAGAGGAACTGATCTGCATATTTATGGGAATCTGACCAATCCCAGGCAGGAGGGAAGGCAGTGTGTCAGATCAGTCCATAAATATGACAGAGCCTGGCCAGCAGGGAGTCAGGTGGAAGATAGGTGCTGCTGTATAGCCTGGGAGGGAGCCCCAGAGAAGGGGAGTCCTGCTTCCAGCCTGGAGGCTGGAAGCTGAGGAAGCTGAAAGAGGAGAGCTGAAATATGGAGCTCCACTGCCCTGCAGTCCACCGGGCAAGGACAGCTTGCATAGCTTGGACAGGAACTAGCCAAGCCTCAAAGGCCTGAAGGCAGTTCTATCCACAGCTTCAGGACAAGGACAGTGTGACTACCTCTACACCTCCAGGGCCTATAAGGGAGAAGTCTGCTGGATGCAAGTTCTTAGCAAGTCTTCAGGGGACAGTTCATAGCTTACCCAATCCCTTGTCCTGGGATCAGATACTGTAGCCAGGTGGGCTGGTATTTTGTTCACTTAGAGCTCCTGCAAGTTGCTTCCTTTGCTAAAGACTGTCAGGGTTCTGGCTGGACCACAGTAATTCAGCAGCCATTTTTATAGCATTTTCTAAAGATGGAAATTGTCCTCAATTATTCTGTAATCCAGTTGGGCATCCCATAACCCCTTTACCCTATCCAAGTTAAATTCCCGAATAAAACTAAAATAACAAGCCCATGACCTGTTTTTATGTCTGGGTACAAGTGGAAAATGTGTGTTGCCTGGATGTGCAGGAAGTAAAGGGGGACCCAAAGCCAGCGGCTTTCAAGAGGGTAGCACTACAATGGCAAAGCTTTAAACATGGTGTATGTCTATTTTTTTTAATTGGGGATAGGAGTGTACAGTGAATGGGACTGACATAATTTGAGGGGGTTTAGGTGCATGCTCGTCTTGCAATTTGTTTTCATTCAAATGATGCTCTGGTGTGCGAACAAAAGGCACTTTCAAAAAGTAGATGGCCAATAACAAGTGAATGCTGTTCTTTGAGCACCAGAACTTGAAAAGGTTTTATAAAGTAAAATAAAAAAAACAAACACTAAGTCCTATAAATAAAAACTAAATAAAGGGAGTAAAATATTTTAAAGGGAAGTCAGTTGGAAACAAAAATGCTATGAATAGGATAGCAGCTAAAAATGGTCACTGACCTCAAATCAACCACAAGATAAAATTAAAGACAAAAAGAGCTAAGTTATAACACAAAAAACAGCGAAAGGGTTGATTGTCCAACAGCTTCAATACACTGTCACTCTTTGCATTGTCTCTTGCTACATTTGGAATACTGAGTCTACTTACAGTCCCAGCCTTTTCTTTAATTTCTTCTTCACTTTGCTGACTCTTCCATTCTATATGGTTCTTTTTTTAGATGTCTACTTATTCCATTTCTTCTATATATTGCTTAAAGAGGAACTTTAAGTCAGCACCTACAAATAAATAAAATAATAAAATTAAAAACTCGCCAATTTTGTTACAGTAAGGAAGGAAGAGGGGGGTGAGGGGAATTTTACTTTTACGTGAAGTTCTACTTTAAGTTGGCAGCAAGAACTCATTATATAAATGGATGATGCAGTAAGTTTGTCAAAGGGCGAGGACGCTCCATTCCAGAAAGTACAAACTCGTAAGTCATTCCTTTCAAGGTGCAGTTTCAAAGGTAACTCCAAGTTTCAAGGGTGACTGAGCGTATTTTCAAGACAAAAAGTAACCAGTCAAGGAGTGGTACCTGGGTAAGGTGAGGCATCCTCTAGGAGTAAGGGAGTCGCTATTTGAGTTCCCTCCCTTGCAGGCCATTCCCCATAGCATCCAGCAGCAGACCAGTGTTACGGAGGTCCTCAGCCTAGCTGTACGGCATGGAAGAGGAAGATTTAATATAGGACATGCTTGCAGGAGATCCATGCTATGTGTCTGGTGGGATCCCATTCTCTTACCGGGAGTGAGGTAACAGAGGTACACTGGCTGGTGGAGGTGGTGAGGCTCTACCTGCCACTCTGAATGCAACACATAACAGTCACTAAAAGTAGAGCTATGGGACAATACTTTTTCAAGAACTCAGATTCATTCTAAATGCAGTGTCAGCTCATCTCGGGAGACTGCCTTAATGTTAGACTGTACACATGACCGCAGTCCCCGCCGAGTCCATTGGTGAGCACTCCTCTGGCAAAAGTACCCCTAATGCATGGGTATGGTAGGCCCTGCCCACAATATATCATAGTCAATTAAACCTGACCACCCTACAAGCAGGTTGCCAAAAACAATTTTTTCTGTAAAATTAGGATTCAAATCTCTTGGCGATTTCTAATTACTGTCTGTCATCCTGATCCAGTGCCAGCTAGTGATAAGCTTAGGTTTGGGCTGGGGTCTGGTCTGAATCCAAGTTCAACCGAAGTCAAGAGTCAGCTGTCAATTCTGGGTCAATGAGCTGTGGGTGGGAGACTCCCCGCCCCAGAGCTGACATACACAATAGGGCGGTGCTGCTTGTGATATCATTGACCTAATATGGGCACACGGCCATATTCGGTCAATATTATTGATTTTCTTATGAGCATGTGACCATATTAGGTAGATGATGTCATGAACATCCCCGCCCCTTTGTATACTTGCAGCTGCAGAGTGGGGAATCTCCTGCCCACAGCTCATTGGCTCAGCAATGACAGCTAACTTCCACATTCAGGATGAACCCAAACTCATCCCTAGTGACAACCAGTCCCCTAATATCTTGTCTTTCTGTCAAAGGGACAGGAAGTAAGGTGAAATCTACCCAATACAGTCACAGACACAGTATTTACTCTTCCAAAGTCTATTCACATAAAACAAAAAAATGACAGGAATTGATTTCTAAAGCATTCCTTCCTTTGGTAAGGATCTGTGTTTTTATTATTACTGTTGGAAAATCTGTTTGCAATTACTAGCTTCTCCAATAGTGGGCGCCAAGAAAGGCTTACACAGCCAAATTTGAATTCAACCTCTACAGGTGATACTAGAATCAGGCAGTCTCTGGCCATCCTAACAGGCAAATACCGCTCAACACTTTATGGAGCAAGTTTTAGTGAAAATGTGAAAATGCTGAATTGTAATAGAGATACTATTCATTGTTCATATGCTGTATCAGCACACAATGACCTCTTTGTACAAGTCAGCTCTTTTGAGAAGCTTCTGATTAAGGCTGAGATTGCAGGTTCCCTTCATGCACTGGGCACCCCGTGCTTCTCACATAGTTACTCATTAATACATGTTGCTCTTACTGGCAAACTGAGCTGTCCATAAAAATCAATAGGTGAAATAATCCATTTTTAAGAGGCTCCATTTTCCAAGCTGTTAGTTGCTGAGCTGGTTGTTAGGCTACAAGTTAAATAATAATTTTATATTTCAGCCCTGGTGGCTGATACCCCAATATATGCTGTGTGACCACTGTGACACTGATATCGCCGACAGACAGGGTGCAGGCAGGCAATTAAAACATGTAGAAGATTCATTAGAATGGTACATGTTTGCATAATGAATGACTCAAAGAAAAAAAGGGAGTCCTGCATAAAGGAAAGCAAGGCTCTGCTTGATTATAATAAAGTGTATGCAAACCCTAACAATGAATGTTGCTTATTTGCTCCTTTCTGGTCTTTTAACCACTTCAAGTCCAGACACTTTCACCCCCTTCCTGTCCAGGCTAATTTTGAGCTTTCAGCGCTATCACACTTTGAATGACAATTGCGCAGTCATGCAACACTGCACCCATATGAATTTTTTAGCATTTTTTTGAGACAGATAAAACTTTATTTTGGTGGTATTTATTCACCACTGGGATTTTTATTTTTTTGCTATATAAATGAAAAAGTCCAAACATTTTGAAAAAAAGGGGTTTTCTTATAAAATTTTGCAAATAAATAATCTTTCTTCATAAATCTTGGCCAAAATGTATTCATCTATCTTTTTAGGGAAAAAAGAAAACCCAAATTAGTTTATAACCAAAAATTATAATTTTTCAAAAAGTGTTTTGACATTTTAATTTTATTTTTTTATATTATTATTTATGGGTTTTTTTTAACATACTGTCACCCTAGCAGTACAGTGTCACCATAGTGACACTGTACTACTTGTGGGGGGTGATGGAGTTTTTTTTTTTTTTTTTTTTTTTTTTTTACACAGATTGCTTTTAAAACCATAAAGGCTATAAAAGCAATCATTTCTCCTTCTCTCTGGCTGCATTCCTGCAGCCATTGAGAAATACTGTGAGAGCTGTGATTGGTCACAGCTTGTCACATGATACAAGGCTGTTGTGAATAGCCCTGTACCATGTGACCTCTGTGATCATTCACAGATTTCACACATAGTAAGCAATGATGTCAGAAGTGACATCTTGCTTACTACTCTGCATGTGATCACTGATTAGCCAATCAGTGATCACATGATTGGGACCTCACACAGAGGTCCCGTACAGTGATCGCAGTGCCGTGTGCTCCCAGGGAGCATGCACAGGCGGGGAGCCGGGAGGACTTTAATAAACGGCCACCTTCTCCTGCACTGCTCCCGTCTGGCCGTTTATATACACGGGCTGGATGGGAAGTGGTTAAATATGACATTGAAAGAGTTTTGTTTTATCACTGCGATATGTGCAAAAAATACCTGTTGATCCAGCCAGAAATTCAGCGAGCATCTAACTTCATAACATCATAGGAACACACACATGTGGTGAACCTTGCACACATAAAGGTATTTATTATGGATTTACCCAGTATTGATCCTATTCTATTATATATATATTAATTCCATTCTCTTTATATCATTAATACCCTTTGATGCTGTTTGGGATATGGTGTCCCCAGCAGAGGGTTGCTTGTAGAACTCCTGTGGGTGGGAGGTCTAGGGTGGGAAGTAATCTTGATTGTAGAGCTAAATTATCCCTAAGCTGCATAGATAAAGGCAGTAATGTACTACCTCATATATGTATTTTTTGGTACCTGTATATTCTTTGTGGCAAACTAGGCCAGGACAGTATCTAAGGTGATCTCACCTGGGTCTTTTTAAATGGCTGACAAGAAATAATGTCACTTCCTATGTACAGTGGGGCAAAAAAGTATTTAGTCAGCCACCAATTGTGCAAGTTCTCCCACTTAAAAAGATGAGAAAGACCTGTAATTGGCATCATAGGTAGACCTCAACTATGAGAGACAAAATGAGAGAAAAAAATCCAGACAATCACATTGGCTGATTTGGAAAGAATTTATTTGCAAATTATGGTGGAAAATAAGTATTTGGTCACCTACAAACAAGCAAGATTTCTGGCTCTCACAGACCTGTACCTTCTACTTTAAGAGGCTCCTCTGTCCTGCACTCATTACCTGTATCAATGGCACCTGTTTGAACTTGTTATCAGTATAAAAGATACCTGTCCACAACCTCAAACAGTCACACTCCAAACTCCACTATGGTGAAGATCAAAGAGCTGTCAAAGGAGACCAGAAACAAATTTGTAGACCTGCACCAGGCTGGAAAGACTGAATCTGCAATAGGCAAGCAGCTTGGTGTGAACAAATCAACTGTGGGAGCAATAATTAGAAAATGGAAGACATACAAGACCACTGATAATCTCCCTCGATCTGGGGCTCCACACAAGATCTCACCCCGTGGGGTCAAAATGATCACAAGAACGGTGAGCAAAAATCCCAGGACCACATGGGGGGACCTAGTGAATGACCTGCAGAGAGCTGGGACCAACGTAACAAAGGCTACCATCAGTAACACACTACGCCGCCAGGGACTCAGATCCTGCAGTGCCAGACGTGTCCCCATGCTTAAGCCAGTACATGTCCGGGCCCCTCTGACGTTTGCTAGAGAGCTTTTGGATGATCCAGAAGAGGATTGGGAAGGGAGAATGTCATATGGTCAGATGAAACCAAAATAGAAACTGTTTGGTAGAGACACAACTCGTCGTGTTTGGAGGAGAGAGAATGCTGAGTTGCATCCAAAGAACACCATACCTACTGTGAAGCATGGGGGTGGCAACATCATGCTTTGGGGCTGTTTTTCTCCGCAAAGGGACCAGGACGACTGATCCATGTACAGGACAGAATGAATGGGGCCATGTATCGTGAGATTTTGAGTGCAAAACTCCTTCCATCATCAAGGGCATTGAAGATGAAATGTGGCTGGGTCTTCCAACATGACAATGATCCCAAACATACCGCCCGGGCAACGAAGGAGTGGCTTCGTATGAAGCATTTCAAGGTCCTGAAGAGGCCTAGCCAGTCTCCAGATGTCAACCCCATAGAAAACCTTTGGAGGGAGTTGAAAGTCCATGTTGCCCAGCGACAGCCCCAAAACATCACTGCTCTAGAGGAGATCTGCATGGAGGAATGGGCCAACATACCAGCAACAGTGTGTGCCAACCTTGTGAAGACTTACAGGAAACGTTTGACCTCTGTCATTGCTAACAAAGGATATATAACAAAGTATTGAGATGAACTTTTTGATATTGACCAAATACTTATTTTCCACCATAATTTGCAAATAAATTCTTTCCAAATCAGCCAATGTGATTGTCTGGATTTTTTTTTCTCATTTTGTCTCTCATAGTTGAGGTCTACCTATGATGCCAATTACAGGCCTCTCTCATCCTTTTAAGTGGGAGAACTTGCACAATTGGTGGCTGACTAAATACTTTTTTGCCCCATTGTATAGGAACAATCTCTCTCCTCTGAAGAAGAATCCAGAATGCATCAGAATATCTCACACCCTAATTAGGATGTTTACTTTGCATATTATATCATGCTATAGGGTTTGTGTGATAATGGAGATGAACTTTGAAGCACTTTATGTTTGATATTGTCAGCCGATGTATGTTTTAAATGTTGTTCCTAAAGTTGAGTTCCACAAATTCAGCAACTTTGAAAAAAGTGCAACTACGCCATGAGTTAAGTCCTAATAGCTATCGTATGCATGTGGGCTTATCTCTATTATTTATATGTGAAAGGTTTATGACCCTGCGGGAGGATGCACTCCAGTCTGTGAGAGAGGAGAGAAGCACAGAGAGTGGCTATGCTCGCCCCTCCCCTCTGCTGCCCATTCACAGAAGCCCTTGTATTGTGTGAATGTGTTCACCACAATACAAAGGCTTCTGTGATTGGGCAGGAAGATGGGAGAGGCAAGCATAGTACCTACACTCACTCTTCACTTGAAAGGGCTGACACTAGCTAAGTCCAGAGTCAGAGCTCTGGAAGCAATGCTGCTGGAGCACCAGACTTGTTAGATATAAAATAATAGAGATAAGCCCCCAGGAGGTGGCAGGCACCTTGTTGCACTTAAAGTGGAACTTCACTATTTCAATCAACATGAACTATTTGTAATTCTTACGCTGCTGGCATTAGTAAATAGATAGGGAAGTATCTAAACAAAAAACAGCGCAAAATAATTCGTTTATAGTGCTAAATCACAACTTATATGAAAAAAATAATTATAAATAATATTCACAAAATAAATAATACTATAAAATAAAGTCCCACTCCAAAGTAAGTGAAAAAAAATGATAAGTGAAAAAGTTGAAAAAAATTCTTAGAAACTCAGAAAGTCCTTTTTCCAAAGAAATGTGCTTCCACCAAAAATTAGTGCTCAAACATTATATACCGCACTCACCAGATTTTGGTGGAAAAAACGCCTTTTTGGTATTTTTGGGATACTAGACCCTTATAATATGCCTCCAGATCTCCACTCCACCAAAGGAAAGCTTTCATCCAATCTCCATAACCACCAGACTCCACTTTCCAGAAATACTCAGTATATTGTAGGGAAAAACAAAAATGACATAGCGTGACACTGCAACACCTGGTTATATCAATATTCAAGTACCAGGCCACTCACATTTTTAAAGATAAAAACCAGCATTTTAATTGCATAAGATAAATCCACAATTGTCACAACTCCAGGAAAGTTTCCAGAGATCCCACAGTCAGCAGCAGATGACAGCATAGCCATAGAGAATCTCCCATACAAAAGATGGCACCCAGGAACGCAGCACGCCTGCGTGCGTTCCACTCACCGGAAGTGACGTAGTAAGTAGGGCGGTGGAACCAGAAGTGTGGCGACAGTTTCGCCTGTCTGACAGGACATTTTCACAGAAGTTTCTGGATTTTACCAGGTTGTCACATATATAACAGTGGATATATCCTCACATCACTTGTTTATTTGTGCTATTCAGCACAGCAGTGGGGGGATTTCATTCATCACCAATATTTTCAGTTTTACTGAGTTATATGGTTTTATTATTTTACGTCTCTTTCGTCTTTCTGAATATATCAGTTTGGCACATATTATTTGTCACCATTTTCCTTGTTTGTACAATTCAGCACAGAAGTGGGGAGGTTAATCCCATTATCATTTTTGAGTTTATTGGCAATTATTGTTTCATGGTTTTCTTATATTTTGTGATTGATAGTCACACATAAGTACACCTAGATATCGGTTTTGGTTTTTTTTTGTATATATTTATTTATTTATGTAGATTGTATTATATGCTATTATTTTATATGTTCTTTCCGGCATGTTGTATATATAAGTGCAGCACCACATTATTTTATCTTATTATTGTCCATTGTGGTACGTGGTAGAGTGTTAGCAGCTGTATTTAGAGTTTACATTCGGAGCGCAGGAGCATTATACAGTTTACTCTGTCTTGACAGTGCTGATTGGACTTGTGCTCATCACATGCACTCTCCCAAGAGGAAAAAAAAAACCCTCCCTAGCAATACACACCAAACTGAGCATGTGCAGAGTGACTCCACAGATCGGGAGATAAGAGGGGGGCATTGGAAGAAAGAGGAGGATCAGAGAAGATGGGATCAAACAGCATTTTTACATAATGAGAGGATTAACCCCTCAGGTTTCATAGTGAGTATAACAAGCATGCTTTACTCCATTTACAGACTGTTGTGAGCTTTAACACATATTTCATCTAGAGATGAGCGAATCGAAGTAGGCGAAGTGGAATTCGTTTCGAATATTGGAAAATTTTCGATTTCGCGCCGAATCCGAAAAATAGCCTACTTCGGACGCGCGAATCGAAATTTTTTCCTAAAATGGGCGGCGGGACATGTGCGGCGACGGAGCGGGGGGGATGTCTGGGAAGGCGCGCAGGACAAGGCGCGCTGACCCATAAATGCATTCCTTAATGACATGTGATCGCATTAGCCAATCAGCAGCCAGGCAGCCAGCACTGTGTAATGGTCGAGCTATAAAATGGCGGCCATTTTAGAATTCTTCATTTGCCTCCAGTCATTCAAGAGAGGCAGACCGCTCTGTATTAGGGACAGAGTTAGGGCCACAGAAACTTTACTTGGGGACAGAGAAACGTTACTTAGGGACAGAGAAACATTACTCAGGGACACAGAATTGTTAGTGAGGGCCACAGAATCGTTACTTAGGGCCACAGAAACGCTAGTTAGGGCCACAGAATTGTTACTCAGGGACAGACAGAATTGTTACTGAGGGCCACAGAATTGTTACTTAGGGCCACAGAAACGTTACTCAGGGGACACAGAATTGTTATTGGAGGGCCACAGAACTGTTACTTAGGGCCACAGAAACGTTAG